AAGTAACAATAGAGTGACATCAGATACAGCACCCCCCCAACAACTTTATATAGATGTCTATCATACCTGCCTAGACAACACAGTTGTTGCATCCAAGTGAGCAAAGGTTGTTGCAGGAGCAGGATCTGTCAAGTCATCAGCAGGGACATAAATAGCTTGCACGGAAGTGATAGAACCTTTCTTTGTGGTGGTAATACGCTCTTGAAGACCTCCAAGATCTGTAGCCAAAGTCGGTTGGTAACCGACAGCAGATGGAATACGACCAAGCAAAGCAGACACTTCAGAGTTTGCCTGAAGGGCGTAAAAGCACAAGCAAACCATCAGCAACATGCAACAGCTGAAATTGCTTCAAAAGCTTCCACAATAAGCCATCTTACCTGAGTAAAACGGAAAATGTTGTCAATAAAGAGAAGCACATCCTGCCCTTCAGCATCACGGAAGTGTTCAGCCACAGTCAAACCAGTAAGGCCAACACGAGCACGGGCACCAGGGGGCTCATTCATTTGACCATAGACAAGAGCGCACTTGCTGTCAGACTGCAATGACAAAGAAATATATAATAAGGAAAAGATAAAAAAATAAAGAAATGCAGATAAGATAAATAATATACATGGTACTTACCTGCTTGTCACCTAGCTTAATGACACCACTCTCAATCATTTCCCTGTACAAGTCATTACCCTCTCTAGTTCGTTCTCCAACACCAGCAAACACTGAGAAACCACCTAAGTACAGAAACAAGTAATATTAAGAATAATGAACAAAGTACAAAGCAGAATCCAGCCACAAATATAATGTATAACCAACCATGAGCTTTGGCAACATTGTTGATAAGTTCCATAATAAGCACTGTCTTGCCTACACCAGCACCACCAAAAAGCCCAATCTTTCCTCCTCTTTGATATGGTGCAAGGAGGTCAACAACCTGTAAAAGAAAACAAGAGAAGAAAATTTTGAACCTGACAACATATTGTCGTCTACATTCAGATGATAGAAAATATGTGAATAGAAGTTCATCCTGATACAGCATAGCATCTTTTTACAAAAGAAAAATGCGATACAACATAGCATCAAAGAAATACAGAATTGTGAGTAATTATTAGTACCTTAATACCAGTGACAAGGATCTGCTGTTCAGTAGCTTGATCAACAAAAGCTGGTGCTTCTCTATGAATGGGCAAGTAGTGGTCGGTTTCTGTCAAAAATTTAAACACAGTCAGTTGGACAATTGCAAAAGTAAACAACAAAGTAAACTGCTCAAATGAAATAGTTCTTACTGAGTTCGCCTTTCTCATCAATAGGCTCTCCAATAACATTTATGATGCGACCTAAAGTAGCTCTACCAACAGGCACCTGAAAATAAAATGCCAACACAATTAAGAAGTTATAGAAATTCAAATAAGCTAGATAAGCACAAAATGGTAAAATGCCCATCAAATACAAGGACTAAAAATGCAGAAACCAAAGAAAACAGGAAACTGACTAGCTCAATAAATGAGGGAAACATCAAGAGCTTGAGTAAAATACCTAAATCATGGTGAACCACTTCACAAGGACTAAATGCAGAAGCCAAAATAAAAGGAAAATGACTAGCTCAAGAAACGAGGGAAGCATTAAGAGCTTGACTGAAATACCTAAAACATGGTGAACCACTTCAAAGAAAAGCCATTTTTAAGAACATCTTTATTAATTCAAAAGGCAACATCAGCTGAAGAAAAAATGAATACCATTTAGGTAAAATTACAAAATTTTTCACTTGCGTAGCGGACATAGTGATGAACAAGTAATGGATTTTAGTTAGATGCCCAATAGTTTCCAAAAAACATTCACTGACAAAGGACTGAAAAAATGTAACTTTTTGCTTGCCTAACCACAAATTTCTTACTTTTTCCAGATCTGATTCCGGTAAAACATAACCCACATCTACAAAACTAATCAGATCTCCATCCACATTTCACTTCAATTTCGTATTTCTAGATCCCAAACACCAAAACAAAGCAACGCAAAACAGAAAAGAAATTTCTAATAAAATCTCATTATTTCCACCTAAAGAATAAAACAATTAGAGAGAAGAGAATCTTTACAGTGATAGGAGATCCGGTGTTGAGCACGCGCTGCCCTCTAACAAGTCCCTCCGTCCCATCCATAGCAATGGTCCTAACCATGTTCTCACCCAAGTGCTGAGCCACTTCCAGCACAAGCCGGATCGAGTGGTCCATCACTTCAAGAGCCGTCAAAATTGGAGGTAAACCTTCATCGAATCTCACATCAACAACGGCACCGATCACTTGACAAACCTGACCGATGGCTCCTGCTCCAGTGAACTCATCGGTGATCTTCCCTCCGCCCCCTTTCTTGGCAGGAGGAGGCTGCGACGGAGCAGGAGAAGCGGCTGCAGCCGCAGATGTGGCGTAATCAGCTACGCGCGTGAGGAAGTACCCGCATGGAGAAGGGCGGCGTGTGGGCGAAGGTGAAAGCAGGCGAGGGTTAGGGCTTGAAGATTTGGAGAGAGATCGGCGAGACGTAGAGCGAAGGAGAGAAGAGAGGACTCGACGTGAAGCCATAGATTAGGGCTTCGAGAGAGATGCTAGGGTTTGATGAGAAGAGCTTTTTCGGGAGAGGGAGAGAGAGATTAGCTTGCTGTTATAGGTCTCAGAGACTCCTTGGGTCCTTTTTACTGTTTTACTGTGTGGAATATTCCTTTTCATCTCGGGTTTTTTACTTATAGTTTCAATTTTTCGAATTTTTACTTTCTTTCCAGGGGATGAGACGCCGTCGTTTATACCATTAATTTCGGAGAAACTCCCACGGTGTGTTGGTTTATCTGGCATTCTATTTGCATCATCAAGTTCTTGCTTTTGACTTTTTATGAACAGACGGTAATGCCCTTGATTGTTCCACTCAATCAGGTGATAGTGAACGATTATTTTGCTTAAAAAAGTTTCATATTGATAATTTAAAATTTTCTTGAAAATAATGTATGATCAATTATTTAAAATTAAAAAATTAAAGGAAATTGAATTAAAAAAAGTTTAGATTTGAGTTAGTCAGAATTACAAAAGGATTATGAAGCTCATGTAAGCAATTAACAAGGATTTTTTTAGTGTATTCAGGTTTATTTAATACATTAAATTTTATTAAAGGCTAATGTAGAGATTAGGTTAATTTTGTGGAAGACCTCTTCACACCATTTAAGAATACAAACTCATTATTAACCTTATTGTTAGTATATGCTCTTGAACTAATTAGATTGGTTAAAAAATATATATTGTTATTTAATGCATAGTAAATCGTATAATAATATATGATAGAGGTTTTCTTTCATATTAGTGTAATAAAAAGAGTTTTTAAGTACTAATTGGATGAAGCCCATGGAACATAAAAGCCTTGCAAAAAAATTATAAAGTTGTTACAATTAAGAGATTACTATGCATTAAAGCTATATTTCTAAAATTATTCTTGGTCATTATATTGTCAAGACAGGGTATTGACAATGCTCAAATATTTATACATGTTAAGCATCCTATATTGGTACATGTTAAGTATCCTTATTTGAGAAGTAAGCAATCGATCTCATAGATTGAGTATATGAAATACGTGAGGATAACATGTAAGTGCTTGTTAAAGAATAAGTTCACTAAACATGACCCGATATCAAAACTCTATTTGGTATTTCATTTAAATATCTATAGAATATGTTCTCATGTGATAGTCGTGCAACTACTCCTTAAACTTTCGACATCAAATCATCTTGTATGAAAATGATATACTTTAATTTCATCTCTTCAGGTCTGGAAGTGACTAGATGCCTAAACAGGGTATTTTTGAGTATGTCATGAAACATGCGAAGATGAATGAGTGGTCAAGAAAGGATTCATAACCCCAAGTCATATGAGGGGATGTACCTCACTTGTTCTCAAGTCTTGATTAACTTGTATAAAGTCTTTGGGCAAAACATGATGAATTTGAAAAAAGTTAGTTTCTTAAATTTATAAGATTAGTCATAAATTATGAGAACTAATATGGAATATTATAAGTAGACATTGAGTCACATTTTATGACATATCCGAGATATTTGATGAAAGGACCGTATTTTACTAAGAGGCTTATTACTAAAGGGCTTTGTCAAATTCTTTAATTGACTATCTAATATTTAGGTGGTTATGATATATTGCTAGATGCCACTTATGATATATAAATATAAATCAATTATCAAATTGATATTTGATTAAAAGCCTAATAGGTCACACACATTAAGTGACATGATTGAGATTAAATGAGGATAATCAATTAAGTTGGACTTAATTAGAATAGACCAATATAAGGTGAAAAATTAATTAAGTTCACAAGGACTTAAATTGAATTAAAATACAATTGTTGTATTTAGGGTTATAACTTAGTTTGGCTATGTAAATATGTTATGTTAGCAAATTAAAACTCTAAGCCTCCAGCCACTTTTCAATTATTTTATAAAATAAAAAAAGAAACATAGTTTTCTTTGTTTGACAAAAATAAGATTCGACAAGAGTTTTTAGTCTTTTTGCTTTAGAAACAAAATTTGCTAACACAAGTAAAAAATCCTATTTTTGAGAAGGTCTTATTCAGTCACTTTGTGGATTATTGTTAAAGGCCAAACACTTAGATGGCTGAAGATTTGACAAATCTTAAAGGTGAAGAAATAAAAATTTTGATTTAATTGGCTTTTGATTATTATATCTAGAGTAAGATATGTAACTCTTAAACTTATAAATGTTCATTATTAAATTAAAAATTACATAAAAAACACAAATATTGATCTTGTGGGATTCAGCTGTTTCTCTAATTAAATGCTAGTTTATTATTTTGTTACGTTATATTTTTAATTTATTGATTATTTTTATATTTGAACATGAGGTCAAATCCTAACACTTATAACATGTTTAATTGGGGAAATGGCTAATCATTTCTTAATAACATGTTTGCTTAATAGAATTGTCATTTCTTGGAATGGATAATCGAAGAGAAATCAAAATAGCCATTATCGTCTTTCCCCTTGATAATGGCTATTCTGAGAGGGAAAGAATAGGCTAAAAATGTTAATAAACCAAAATGCCTTTCATCACTTTTAAAAATTATTACCTCATATAAGATGCAAGTTATTCATTTTTCACAATTTTTTTCATTCTACCCATCCGCCTCTTTGCTACTCTCATGATATTTCCTCCACCATCGGAAGGCGATGGTAGTGACGGTGGCAACACTAGTGTTGAATTTGACCGAATCTGACCACAAAAGTACTAGTGGCGGTGTCTTTCACTATATCATGTCATGAAAGCGCTAGATTTGTTGTTCATTGATTAATCCAATTGTAGGAAGTGTGCAAATTTACTACTTCCCAACTAGACTCCTATGATGGTATTTAGCATTCCATGGTTAAATCCAACTACAAGAAGTACCAAATCAATGCTCGCTTATGTCAACCACATCTTCGATAGTCGATCAATGAGAAGAAAGAAAAGAAAAAATAAGTAAAAACTAAAAAGTTTTAAGTTTTAATTATAAATTATAAATAATTATTATTTTAAATTTAAAAAATTAAATTAAAATTTTAATAGAAATTATAAAATCAATATTTTAAATTTAAAAATCAAATTAAAAATTTATAAAAAATTAATATTTTTAATCTAAAAATTAAATTAAAATTTTAAATAGTTTAAAAAATATGTCAGTTGAGATAAGCTTAAAGTATATTAACCAAAAGAGGGTTGAATTGGCTACCAAGAAAAAATCTCTTTTTTTTTTCACAAATTAAAGAGATAATGAAACTTAAGTACAGTAGAACAAAAAACAGAGCATAACAAAGTATGAATGTGCAGAAAAATAAAAAGTACAAAGCCACGACTTTATAAGGGTTCGACCTTCAATGCCTATGTCTTCTCCTTTGTTATTACAAGAATTTGAATCCACTATAAACTATTTTTTAAAGGGCAGGCATAAACTTGACACAAACACTACCTTTTCGAGAAGATCAAGCACAACCTCACAATGTTATTACCTTTTCAAGAGGAGCAAGCATAACCTCACAACATCAATGCCTTTTCAAGTTTAAAGCATAACCTTTCACAAAGTCTTTGCCTTTTAAAGTTAAAGCACAACTTCTCTACCTTTTGCACGGAAGTATAACTAAGATCCTATCTTTTTAAAGAGGTATAACCTTTAGCACTACTTTTTTCTTAGAGGAATAACCAAATACAATAGTGGATTACAAAGGTTATGCCTCTAAAGAAAGTTGATAAGCTATGAAACCCATAGTTTCCATTACTTGGATAGATTAGACAATTAACTTTGTGAGCTTAAGAAATGCTTTTGTTGACTTGAAAACCTTAATTTCATCCTTGTGAATTCACAACTAAGAGTTTTGGAGGTTGTGGAAGGGACTTAGAATGGGATTAGGCTTTAAAAGGAACAATGTTTGTAAATCTGGATCTAAAAAGTCGACCCCAGTGCATAAAAGGTCGATATGATGAAGTAAAAAGTAGGGGAAGTCATGCATTTTGGTCCAAAATCTACTATAGGTCCTTTATAGTCAATCCTATGAAGGGAAAATCGAAAAAATATAAACATTTTGGTCCAGGATCAACTATGGGCCCTTAATAGTCAATCCTATGAAGGAAAAATGAGTGGAAAGCAAACATTTTAATCTAGGATTGACTATAGACCTTTTATAGTTGATCTTATGAAGGGGAAATGGATGAAACACAAAACCTTCTAGTCTAGGATCGGCTATAGACCTTCCACAGTTGATTTTAGAATGCCTAGTTAGCTTAAAATGAGCTTAAAAGCCCTAAAACCTAAAATTTTCTCATTTCTCTCCTATCTTTTTGTTTTCCTACCCATCTTCTCTCAAATTTCATACCTTTTTGTTACCTCAATAGTATTCAAATCAATTTTGTGTTTTGAAATGACAAAAAAAAAAGACCAAAATTCACCCAAGTTTTGGAATATCAAGTTTTCATATCTCCAAATAATGTCAAATGATCAATACATTTAGACATGTATCGATAGATGTCAATTCAAAATTTATCGATGCATGTTTTTGAAGAAAGTAAAAAACTAAAAAGTCAAACTCAATTTATTGATACTTTGACAAATATATCGATAGAAGTATAGCAGAATGCCTACTGCCTCAAAAGTATCGATACATAAACAAATGTATCTATATATTTTAAGTACAATGTCAAAACTCTTACAAGTAAGTTCAAATCTATCAATGCATACATAAATGTATTGATACATCTCAGCTAAAAATCAAAAATCAAAATGAATGTATCGGTGCATTCACATATGTATCAATACAATATGATTGTTAGAGCATTGAATGAAAAGAGGAATAACTATTTTCTCATTAAATGCACTCCTAACTACCCTTGAAGCTTCAACAACTATAAATAAAGCTTTTTTGAGCATTTATAAAGGTTGGAAGACTTCTAAACATAGCTCAAAAGAGAAGAATCGGCCAAAACTTATTTAAAACCCATTTTACTCTTCTTGAATTCTTAAAGTCTTCTAATTCAGTATTTATTGAGCTCTCATCTATTCATTAAATATTGTACCAAATTCTCCATTTCGCCCTTAAAAGGCATATTAACTGCACT